CCATCAAAAACTCTACTTCTCTGCTCTTACTTCCAGGGATTCTCTATAAGAAGCAAAACCAAGGTTATCTTAAGGTTTCAATCTTCTGAAAGACCTTTACTGTATCCCCTCCACACCACCAAGCTCTAACAATGTTCAGTTCCACTGAGGCCTCCTCATTAACTACACCAACCAAACCAGCATCTCTGTATTTTTGCTTCGTATAAAGCTTCCAACAACAAAATGATACAATACCAGGAATGAAAATACAGCAAATAAAGAACAAATTCTGTAAAAATCACAAACACACTGCAGACAGCTTTCAGCTTGTTTTTACAATTTCCTGCACAGAGATAGGGGTCGTTTTCTAAACTATGGCCTACACCTGAGCAAGTCTAAAATGATTTTCATTCCCAGCATTAGTGAACCAACTACTGAAATTCCCTATATATCATCAACCTCAAGCCTTAGCAGATGGACAAAGTGAAATATTTTGCATGGAATCATCTCAATACAAAGTTAAACTGTGTTTCTTCCATACTGCAACTCAATCCAATGTTTTCTCCAAGATTTTTTTTCAGGTGACTCAGAAGACTTGGACATTTGTTAGAGATGAGAACAAAACAAGAGATTTCTTATTCCCTCCTCAGATCAGGGCCTCTCTGCTGCAGCAAATGAATGCATTCCTCGTACCTCTATCTCAAGCACAATTTAGGATTACTGAGCTTTTACTTCTTGTGTTGATAACAGGAAATACAAAACTGATGAGAAATTTTCAATTCCAATAGTCCAAACAGTCTAATGCAAGGATTCAATGGAGGATGAACACTTCAGGTAACAGGGAAAGACTGTAACTGTAGTGACTGACTTTTAAATTAAAAAGTTTTAGCAAGTCTAGGAGTATTAAACATTCACTAGCTACTCACATCTAACATTCTCTGCAGCTCAAAGGGTTTTTTTCCCCCATCTTTCAATATTTTCATTTGTTTTCAGTATCCACATTTTCAGATCTTCCCATTTGAACTACTACAGCACAACTGAACAAGTTGTTAAGAACCAGAATTTTCAGAAATGTGTGATGATTATATATTCTTATAGTAAGATGATGGCAGAATATTGCAGCAAACTGCTGATTATTGAGTCAGTTTACTTGATAAAGAATTCAGGAGGAGGGAACCCCAAAGTATTTTGGCACAACACTTTGCATACAATAAACTCTCTGACACGTAGTGTCACCTCTCTTAAAGGAAGGATAAAACAGTTTGAGTTAAGAAAAGCATAGAAGAATAAACATCTGCTGCAAGGAGAAGGATAAGGGACTGCTGTCTACAAAGAAAATCAGATTCTCAAACAGTACCCAGAAATTGCAAGCAAAGATGTGATGAGATACAAGACTTGCAGAGCACAAAATTACTTACCTATTCTATCAGACAAGCAGATGTGCCTAAGCAAATGCCAATATCTCAAAATACTGCATTTGAGACCACACGGCTCATAACAAAGAAGCTAACAGTTAGCAAGAGAGAAATAACACCCATCTCTAAGAAGGCACGAAGTTTAATGAGTTCTCTCCAAGGGAAAAAACACTGAAGTATTTTTTCAAGTTTAACAGGTCCCCTAGGTTTGCTACCCATGCCGTGACCACAGGCTGGTGAGTCTCAACCAGTGGAATGTGACACCACATGGTCATTAAACCCTCCCACCCTGCCTGCAAGAGCAAGTGCCTGCTGCACACGGCTGTCTTATTATATGGCAAGGAACATATTTTAACAGCATTATACAGTGGAAAATGTGAGCAACAGTACTTTCAGAACCCGTAAGAAAAGCCAAGATCTATGAACGTATTGCCTTCCCATCCTTCTACCAATGTTTATCGGCTCCCAGCACTAAGACCGCCCTTTATTGGGAAATGCAGTTATCTCACCTGGCATCTGAGAAGCTCAAATACTAGCAAGTCTGTAACTGTTTCTTTTCTCTCCTTAATACAGAGAGAACCCCTCTTGCGAAGGACTGCATAAATAGAAAATGTGATGTGATGTATCTAACAGGGCCCGTAATGGCCAGGGTTTCCCCAGCCCTATCGTCAAGCAGCCACAACCCGGTCTCCACTCAGACCCAAAGCAGAGGAAAGAGTAACATTAAAAAAAAATAATTAAAAAGTAGAAAAGGGCAGGACTGATAGTCGGGCGAGGCCGCCACCAGACACCTGTGCGGCAGGCGGGACGG